GGACGAGGACATTTGTTCAGGCTCCCCTCCCAACCGGTGGTGCTGGCGTGTGGCCGGGCTTCCAAATGCTGCTGCAGGGGCTGTGCTCCCCGAGGCTGGCCCCACTGTGCCCCGGAAGCCTCCCCACGGGCGCTTCTGCACGAGCCACGTGCCTGGCATTACCCGTCACTCTTCGTGTCAGGGTCGGCAGCCCCACAGCGGTCCCCGGTCCACGCGCCTCCCCCGCCCCCAGCTTCCCAGCTTCAGGCTGGCGGCCTCACGGCGGCCACGCAGTCGCTTTATGCTGACCCGCTTTATCCCTGATCTGCTCTCCGAGCCTCAGTCCCCTCACTGGCAGAGTGAGGCCAACCACTGACCTTCCTCAGCTGTGTCCCATGACGGCTGCTGGAAAGTGCCGGGTGAACGGCACCGGCATACCGCTCTGCTACAAAAAATGCCAGTCAGGGCTACCAAAACTAGCTTTAATTCGTCCAAAAGTCACATTGAGCTGTGTAAAAACTTTCTGGGAGGGAGGCCCAGAGAGAGTCCATGCTGCCCCCCATGGGGCCGAGGGGTCTCTAGAAGTTCTCCAGCAAGCCCAGGATGCGCTTTTGCTCGTTCTCCCGGAACTCCGGGCTCCGGCCGTCCCCGATGTTCTCCGCGTACTCTGGGGAGACAAAGGCAGCGTTAGGCATGGATCCATGGATCCGAGGGGTGCGCTCCGTCGTGGCTGGGCCCCTCCGCACCCCTCCCTAGATCCCGGCTCCTGCCGAGGCACGTGCTGTTCTAATGCCTCTAACGGCCGCCACAGGGGCACCTTGGCCAAACTCATCGGTCTTGTGTTCGAGGTGATGAGTGAACCCAAGTCACCTTTGCCGACTCCCAGTCCTCCCCGGCCACACCCTTTACTCACTCACGTGGTCACTCAGTGCACAGGCAGCAGATGCCTGCGTGGCCAGCGTTTGTCAGAGCGTGGGCCCTGACCAGCGGCAGCACCATGGAGGAACTTGTCAGAAACGCAGATCTGGGGGCCAACCGAGACCTACTTGGTAGCCCCAGCAGAGTCCGTCTGAACAAGCTGTCCAGGTAATGATAACGCACACAAGTCTGAGAACCACGATTTGAGGCAATGGGGATAAAGTAATGATCAAAATACACGAAGATCTCTGCTCTCTAGTGGGGGAAACAGCCCACAAGTAAGCGACAGAGGGTGGCTGTCAGAAGGCCTCACGGAGATTTGATCGGAGACCTGAAACAAATTCATGTGGGCACGTCTGGGAGCGAGCGGCAAAGAGGCTCCGAGCGGGGAGCTCACCCGGCCCGGTGGGGAGTGAGTGTGGCGGTCCCTGTGGCCGGAGCTCGGCAGCGGGGACAGGAAGGGGCAGGCACAGGCCACAGGGCCTTGGGGGCCGCTGCAAGGACTCCGGCCCTCCCCCCCCCCCGTGACCAGGGCTGTGGGAGGGCTGTAAGCAAAGGAGTGACGGCTCACTCCAGCTGCTGTGTGGGAGATGCCCCGAAGGGCACAAGGGCAGAAGGGGAGATGCGATTTGATGGTGGCTGGGACCAAGAAGGTCACAGAGGGGGTGAGAAGTCTTCCGATTTTACATGCATTCTGAAGGTGATCCAGCAGGACTCACAGACAGGCTG